AACATTACAAAGACTGTGCATTACATTGTACATGTGCATCCTCATGAGATAAACCTGACAGAAACAAAACAAAGCCAAAATTAACTGTATTAATAATGTATGTGGAAGCTGTTGTCCGTCTCAGAATGGACCACAGACTGAAAATTAACAGCAGCAAAAACACAATGCTAACAACGCTAAATGCTAGCAACTACCATCAGTTGGAGGCAGAGGAAATAAACGGTCATTATTCACACTAAATGATCAGATTAGTACTATATGAACATATTTAATGAGCCCACAACCAACATTGGACATTACAGCAAGAGACACAGTGATATTAGCCCATGGTTGGCACCAATATTGGCTATCAGCAGTTTACCTTTCATATTCCTTTCCCTTAATATGTAATCTCTCCTGTAGTCAGCAAGGTGGGCTGCTGTACCATCATTATAGTTCCCCACTTATGACAGTTGAAACCCAGGCCTTTCTTTCTTAGAGTTAACATGTTTAACTTCAAATGCTGAATGTTCTGAATACCAAAAATAATGGAAAGCTGCGAGGCTGTTTCCAGTAATTTTATCACTAACTTTAATCTACAAGAGAAGTCTAGAGACAACCAAAGCACGCCCAGGTAGTTATCGATCACAACCTGTCAATGAGCAAGGAACAGGAAGGGAGCAAAATAAGGGAGTTCCCTTATGTTAGAAAAAGCAACATGCATTATTAATATGACATTTTAGATCATTGACTTCAGGCTGGATTGACAGAAGAGCATTATATGAAAACAGTGGTGTCACACCGAGTCAACCAAAATACCAAAATACATCACTGACCCCTGCTGATGCAGATGCATTCCCCTACAAAATCACACCAGTATTTTGATGAAGCAGAATTCAGGGCCCGGAATTGGGCCTGGTGGGTCCCGACCTCGTCTTCAACTTTTAGACTACTTTTGCTCTTGTCCCAAATAAGTATCTTTAAAACCAAATACTCAGCAGTCAAGGAATCACTGGAGACACGTAGAATTGAGTGCAACTGAGTTTAATGTGTTCGCAGGTAACAACACATACAGCGGGTAAAATAAATATTGAACACGTCACCATTTTTCTCAGTAACTATATTTCTAAAGGTGCTATTGTCATGAAATTTTCACCAGATGTCGGTAACAACCCATGCAATCCACACATGCAAAGAAATCAAACCATAGATGTCCATAAATTAAGTTATGTGTAATAATGTGAAATGACACAGGGAAAAAGTATTGAACACATGACGAAAGGGAGGTGCAAAAAGGCATGGAAAGCCAAGACACCAGCTGAAATCTATCAGTAATTAGAAAGCAATCCTGCCACTTGTCAGTGCAAATTAATATCAGCTGGTTCAGTCCCAAATGATGGCCTATAAAAAGGTGTCTCATTACCAAGGTGTCACACAAGAAGCATCTCATGATGGGTAAAACCAAAGAGCTGTCTCAAGACCTTCGCAACCTTATTGTTGCAAAGCATACTGATGGTATTGGTTACAGAAGGATTTCTAAACTTCTGAATGTTCCAGTGAGCACTGTTGGGGCCATAATCCGGAAGTGGAAAGAACATCATTTCACCATAAACCGGCCACGACCAGGTGCTCCTCGCAAGATTTCTGACAGAGGAATGAAAAGAATTATCAGAAGAGTTGTCCAAGAGCCAAGGACCACTTGTGGAGAGCTTCAGAAAGACCTAGAATTAGCAGGTACAATTGTTTCAAAGAAAACAATAAGTAATGCACTCAACCGCCATGGCCTGTATGCACCCTCACCACGCAAGACTCCATTGCTGAAGAAAAAGCATGTTGAAGCACGTTTAAAGTTTGCTGCACAACATTTAGACAAGCCTGTGAAATACTGGGAGAATATAGTCTGGTCAGATGAGACCAAAATTGAACTCTTTGGATGCCATAATACACACCATGTTTGGAGGTCAAATGGCACTGCACATCACCCCAAAAACACCATACCAACAGTGAAGTTTGGAGGTGGGAACATCATGGTGTGGGGCTGTTTTTCAGCATACGGCACTGGCAAACTTCATATAATTGAAGGAAGGATGAATGGAAAAATGTACCGAGACATTCTTGATAAAAATCTGCTGCCATCTACCAGGATGATGAAGATGAAACGAGTGTGGACATTTCAGCAAGACAATGATCCCAAACACACGGCCAAGGAAACTCTCAATTGGTTTGAGAGAAAGAAAATAAAGCTGCTAGAATGGCCCAGCCAATCACCTGACTTGAATCCAATAGAAAATCTGTGGAAAGAACTAAAGATCAGAGTTCACAGAAGAGGCCCACGAAAACTTAAAGATTTGAAGACTGTTTGTACGGAAGAATGGGCCAAAATCACACCTGAGCAATGTATGAGACTAGTTTCTCCATACAGGAGGCGTCTTGAAGCTGTCATTACCAACAAAGGCTTTTGTAAGAAGTATTAAATAAATTTCAGTAAGCGTGTTCAATACTTTTTCCCTGTGTCATTCCATTTTATTACACATAACTTTAATTTCTGAAATTATTTATTTTGGTTTCTTTGCATGCGTGGATTGCATGGGTTGTTACCGACATCTGGTGAAAATTTCATGACAATAGCACCTTTAGAAATATATTTACTGAGAAAAATGGTGACGTGTTCAATATTTATTTTACCCGCTGTATAGCACGTATAGCAACAGGCTGAGATAGAGCAGTCGGACTCATTGCACTGACCGGTTTTCATTCGCCAAAGCACAGTCTTCTATCTCCCTTCTTTGACCTTCTACCTCCCTTCTCCTCCTCAACAGATGAAGCATTAGCAGAACAAGGTTGTTGTCGTACTGCTGCTTCAAGAATATAAGCAAAACAAGCCCGAAAAAGGCNACATCTGGTGAAAATTTCATGACAATAGCACCTTTAGAAATATATTTACTGAGAAAAATGGTGACGTGTTCAATATTTATTTTACCCGCTGTACAACTCAATGAGTCATGCTCCGGAGCAGGACTGAAGTTTTGCTTTCTGTGTGCTCTCTTTTATGCTGGTGAAGATTCTGTCGAATCTCCACCTCTTCTCTTTAATCCTTCCCACATAAGCCCGAACATAATGGTGTCATACATGAACATCAAATCCTATCAGATCGAACATTATGGTGTCATACATGCACATCAAATCCTATCAGATCCTAGGTACTTCCCACTTCAGTCCTTGAACATCAGATCCTACCAGATCCCAGGTACTTTCCACTTTCGTCCTTGAACATCAGATCCTGCATCCAATACAATACACCAATGAGTGTGTGTGTGTGTGTGTGTGTGTGTGCACATTATGTGGATACATGAAACAATAAACCAAGGTGTGACTGGTTATGATCAAGCAGAGTATACTGCCTGGACATGTATTTTTAAAGGTCAACTGACACTAAAGCAAAAGACTAAACAGGTCCATTACACTACAATTTCTAGAATGATTCTTTCCAAATAGAGCAATTCTGGTCATTTGATGAAAATTCCTGTGTTTTTTCCAATCATAATATGTATTGCAGAACATTTTTTTTCTCTGTGTCAGTTTTTTATTGATGTGCAGTTCAAAATTCAAAATGGGCCCCTTAACTCTGTGGGGAGAATTCCAGTCCCCCCACTTTTACATATCTGAGCATAGGGACCCCTTAAAAATGAAGCAGGCAGGGGTGCATCCATCGGTCCAAAAAGGAAAGCAAAAAAAGCACCTTTAGATTCAGAGTATTTTGCCAGAGGCACTTCTTCTTATGAGAAAAACTAAGGGGATGGAAAGCAATAATACATGCCATTACAACACATGTGTAGTGATTAAAATGGTTTCTTACTGTTAATATAGTTAAGGCTTCACGATCTAAGTCACTACAGACAGCTAAGTGTCCAGAATAACCAGGACAGGAGGCTAACAACTTATAAAATACAAAAGTTTATTACAAAATAGAATCCAAAAATAAAAAAGACAATATGTGGACTGGTAGCTACACAGTAGCAATTGTGCAAAAATGCAATTCGTTAGACAAGGCACGTGTATTCATTAAACTAGGAAAACTCTCAGAGAAGGCATATAGAATCGACTCACACAGTTAGGACCAATACACTCCACAAGGAGGATAAAATGCCACTACACACGGTAAAAAAAACACACACACAATGTTGTTGTGGCCTAAAGCTCCCCCCGAACCAGTTACCACTCTTGAATTGCACAATACCTGCTAAATATTGCACCAAGCCCACCTCAAATAAGTATCAACAGAAAGAAAACAAGGAAAACCAAACATTAGAAACAAAAAGGTCCAGAATTAAAACCAGCTGTTGGGAAAGGAAAAAACAGTGACAGACACTGCACCCGCAGACAGTCCTATGTGTTAAGATGTGTTCAGCATGTTTTAAAACAATATTCTTAATAAAATAATTAATTCAATATGCTGTACCTTCAGGTATTTTTAACTAGCACGCAGACCAGCAGTTTGTTGTGATGTCAAGTTTTAACTAGCAACCAGACCATGTTGCAGTGTCTGATACTGGAACTGAAAAAAACACAAAATGCATTTGAACAGCTCTGTTCAGTATATATTATAAAACAATATTCTTAATAAAAATAATTAATTCAATATGCTGTACCTTCAGGTATTTTTAACTAGCACCCAGACCAGCAGTTTGTTGTGATGTCAAGTTTTAACTAGCAACCAGACCATGTTACAGTGTCTGATACTGGAACTGAAAAGAAACACAAAATGCATTTGAACAGCTATGTTCAGTATATATTATAAAACAATACTCTTAATAAACTATAACGTTAAATGTGCCATACCTGCAGTTATTTTTAACTAGCACCCAGACCAGCAGTTACTTTGTTCCCTGATTTCAGGATGTTTTAACTAGCACCCAGGCCATGTCACAGTACTAAAAAAACACACCATAAAATACATTTAAACACCACATCATTAAATAAATTCACTGTTTGACACATATGAACAAAAGTGCATGACTTACAATCAACCCCAACTCAAGGTTCACACTGCTCGACATGCAGATGGCTAGAGGGTACTACAAAAAAAAAAAACAAAAAAAAAAAACACATAAGTCAGACTGCAACTACAACTGGCAGAGGACCCTGTTTAACTCTGAGAATAAATGCGTTTTCCATGGGTCACTCTTTCATGTATGATGCTGTAAATAATATCTTTTTTCAGTAAAATGCGGCTTACCACGACAACTGGTTGGCGTCCCGTCTGCTGCGTCTGACTGCACTTCTGTGTCTGCACACACTGGGAGGGAGGGAGGGAGGGAGGGAGGGAGGGGGGGAGAGAGAGAGAGAGAGAGAGAGAGAGAGAGAGAGAGAGAGCTGCTTCCGCTCTACCTTTGTAAGCTGTCCTGGGTCCTAAAACCATCCCCGTTACACATGTAAATGTTGGACTTACACTGTTGAAAAGAAGAAGCTCTGAGGAATGGTCACAATCTTCAGTCAGTAATGCCTAGCTGTAAGCACTTAAGCAAAGTTGAGTTGCCATGCTTACATGGAGAATGCCAGGGCAAATGTGAAGAAGAGCTATGCACTGTTCTATATTATGCAACAACAACAGATATGTGCATTTGCAGAACCACACAGCCTTATATGAGCTCAACAAGTCATTTCATCAAAGACTGGACATGTGCAGTAGATGTCTGCAGACCTCCTGTTTCCTGGAAGATCACACAGGAGAAATGATGATGGTGATGCCCGAACCAAAAAGGGAAGTGATGGTGTCATGGGGACTGGAAGAAGATCGCAGACTCTGTTTAAGCACTGATAATACCACAAATGACATCAAAAACTCTATGACTGGACATGGTTAAAGTGTTTTGGCCACTGTCTTCATTGGTAAGTGTCTAATAAATATATAACATAAATCTAAATACTACTACTGCACTGCAAAAAACGTAGCCCAAATGTAAGATATAAACACTAAATTTGAGAAGAAAATTACTTAAAACTAGTGAAATTATCTGTCCATGCAGAAAGTTAATTAAAGACCTCAGCCAAGGGGCGGGGACCCTATTGTTTTTGGTGCCTTTATTAGGGACCTCGGCCGAAGGATGAAGTCCCTATTGTTTCTGGTACGTTTATTCTTTATTCTTTTTCCCGCCGCCTCTTTGAGCTGGAATTTGACCCCTAAACATGCTCAAAAACTCACTCAAAATTGGCACGCATGTCAGGACTGGCAAAAAATTTGATAAAATGAAAAAATGAACCCCAAAACTGCAAAAATGGGCTCTCTAGTGCCACCTAGACACACTAAAATAGCCACTGCGGCCCACAGGAATGTCATAGATAGATCAAACCAAAACTGGAAACCAACAGGAAGTTAGCTAATTGCCCTTTCAAAGTAACATGTCGTTTTTTCAAAAATTATTTTTCAAAAAATATTTCCTCCTACACCGTTTATCATATCGGCTTCATACTCACACACATGACAGGTAAACTTCTGCTGAACAGATCTTCTAAATAACTTTGCCATTACTCGAACAGTTTGGATTTTATGCCCTCTTAAACATGACGTGACACAAAACCTCCTGACAATCTTCGCACCACCTAGACACACTAAAATGGCCGCTGTGGCCCGTAGGAATGTCGTAGAAAGATCAAACCAAAACTGGCTTGTTCGTCTCATCAAGACCTACAAATCACACACTGACACCCCTGACCTAAATCCAACAAGAAATGAGTTAGTGCCTCTGAAATTAACATGAGCAAATGTGGAGAAATTGTCAGCTGTGAGCTAGACATCTTAAACTTGTGAACAAGATCGCATTTTTGACTCCACAAACATAAAAACTATATGTCTGTGTTTGGGAGGAGTGTATCTCTCTGCTGGTATGCTCAGATTGATGATTGGACCCACAGTTTGGGAATTAAAGGGAGGAGTTCAAGACATTTTAAAGCCATCTCAATTTGCCTGCTCTCACAGCTTATCTCTCCCTCTCGCTGGCAGACTCAGGATGTTTGAAGGGCAGGGGAGAAAAGGAAAAAAGGGCACCTACTGCATGACATGGGGCCCCATTGGTGCGCAACAAGCTCAAGAGGACAGCCAAAAGGGCACATCCGCTTGCCAAAAATGACCTTGCGTACCCTTGACATTGCTTGTTTAATAGACATTTCGACTCTTACAAATAATTTGCACTGTCTGCGTGAGCTGGAGGCCGAAACCCCGTGAGTCTGATGTCCCACCAATGCTCCTTGCAGCTTTAATTATCATTATTATTATTATTATTATTATTATTATTATTATTGACTCCTATAAGAGTGGGCTACAATGAGTACCGGACCATCAAATCACAGCATCTGCGGTGAGAGGACACGGAATTTTGTGCGCTTTTATGCACGGGTCGGTAGTGAAGTGGACACATGACTCATGCTACGGATGGACGAACGAGCCACATATCTCGGTGCCGCTTAAAAACAGGTAATACATCTGGCTACATCTTTCCCACATCAAATATTGGTGATCGCCTAGACCCGTGTGTAAAAGCGCACACAATTCTGTAGCCCACTCTTATAAGACCCGATAATAATAATAATAATAATAATAATAATAATAATAATAATAATAATAATAATAATAACAAGTTACTGTGGACCTATATGCCATGCTTTTTAACAGAATTACCAGAGGAGTTCATGGAAAAACAGGTATTGTCTGCATGAATTACTCGCGAGCGTTCCCGGAGTTCGCTGAAAAACAGGTAGTCTAATGTCAGCCTGAATTACTTGCGTGCGTCCCCAGTGAAAATCGCTGAAATGCATGGGAAATATGGCTACTGTCAGGACTCAGGGAACAGAATTTGAAAAAAAAGAGGAAGGGCCGCCACTCCGATTAATGGAATTGAATTTTCGGAATGTCGACCCTTAGGAATGGCGAGCGACCCCTGAATCTGAGGTGGTTCTGGTGGCGTGCTTGTGTTTGTTCAAGTCTCTCCAGCCGGTGGAAAGCTCTGACACAGTCTTGTCCAAAACTTACGTAATGTAATAACTCGATTAGGTTCATTTTGTCTCCTAAATTAAATAGTATAGAGATTTTTCTTTTTTCAGACCAAGAGATTAGGAGACGTTGCTTTACCTTGACATGTTTCCACTGTTAACTTCAGTCTTCTTCAGAAGCATCATCTGACGTGTGTCGTGACGTGTCTTTATCAGCTGGTGTTTCCTTGAAGGTGTGTCCGGCCTTGCAATCTGACAGATCTCTCTCTATACTGACTAAAATGTGACTAAAACTAAAACTAGTTTTCCACTCAAGACTAAGACTAAATTTAAATAAGCTATCAAAATTAAATAAATACCCATAACAACTGCAGTGTCATTTGACTGGGGTGTGAATGCCAATTGTCATCTTTCCTATGACATTTAAAAGCCAGATGTTAGCTGGCATCAGCTAGTTTTTTGTGCAGAGGGAAAAAAGTAGGGGTGCGCCCGAATACAAATACGTTATTCGTATATTTTCTATACAAATATACCAGTTATTATTTGGATGGGGGAAAAACATGCTCGTCATGCACTTTTTTTTGGAGGGGGGGTCATGTGGTTGGGAAATGCCACGCTAATCAAACAAATCAAACACTGGCTATGCCTGCTTACAGTGAAACGAT